ACATAACCATTTTAAACATATATTTTTTAAAATACAAAATCTTTTTAACCGGTTATAAATATATGAATAGAAAATGATAAAAATATAGTTACGAATTTAATATTTGTAATTGAAGATAAGATGAAAAAATAATTAATATAAGTAAATAATAAATGCTTAGAGACTAAATATAATAAACATGTAATATAGAATAAAATTAATAGAAAAAAAAATAAATAAATGCTTGGTAACCTTACTCTAAAAAATAACTCACACCGACTCAAATAATCCATAATCCATATTTATTTTAATAAAAGACTCTTTTATCTCTATTCTTAATAAAAGACTCTTTAGGCCGCCACGTATCTCCCTTCTACACCTCCTTCAATCCACATGTCACTTTTTCATCTATCTTATGAGTTGTTTTCCCGCCCGCTCCATCTTAGAATTAGAATAAACGATATCAGCATCATGATCATCTCCTACTAATTAGCCATTCGTTTACCATATTCTCCCTGTGCTTTTAAATACATTTTTAATATCATATATCATCATATCCCGTATTTTCAGCAATGTTTTTGAATGCTTTATCTTTTACCAATTATACCTACATCATAATAGGAATGAAATAATGTTTAAAATATTATATTTGCCTATTGATTTGATTTATATAAACCGAACACCTAAAATTATATTTCGAAGTTTGAGTCCTTTCTACTTCTTCTTCTTCTCTGCGATTCTGGTAAATCGTTCTCGAAACAACTATGTCCATGGTTTTATTATTTTTCCTTATTTTGGTTTTCTTTATTATCCTATCTACTTGTGATTTTGTTACACTTCTTATGTACCATCTGTTACAGTGCTTCATTATCTTGCAGGGCATCCTTAAACAAACTGGTCTCTGGCCAATTACAAATATATATCGACATTTCATTCTGTTAGAGCCTTTTACATTTAAATGGAATTTTTTATGCTTATATGTATCTGTATCGGGTAGATGTTTTGTTGTCCAGGAAATTAACATTACATAAAAAGAAAATAAAAATTAGAACCCACAATAGAAAACCCAAATCATATATAATATCCAATTTTAGTTAATTATCTTTTAATTTTAACTTTTTTCCTTTTTAACCATTGTACTTTGATTCTTCTTGGGTGTCTGCTTTGCGTTCTCTTTACTTTGTTATGTTGGTCAGGGGTAAATGTGTCAAAATTGCCATCAACACTCTAAAGGGATAATCGGATAAGCAACAAATCCCTTTAATCAGTTGAATTGTTTATTTTATTAAACTATTGGTTGATTGTTTTAGGTACAAGTAAAAAGTTTGAAAGAAAGCTTAGTCCTAATATTGAACACACTTCATATTCGTTTATTATAAATGGTCACTTCACTTTAATATGTTGCTAAAATTGTCAAAGATAAATAAGTACAATGCTATTATAGTTTCCAGTTATATCAATGTAACAGTCTCTACAATTGTGACATAAAAGTACGTTGCAAAGTTCAATCCATTCATATGTTTATTTTTTCTAATCTCATATATGTAAAACTTCTATACCAGTGTCAAAATCTTTTATTAGAATATATGCCCTTTTAAATACAACAACATACTATACTTTTCGTTTTGTTATTAATCAAAGGGCAAAAAGGTCGATGTAAAATAGTTATTGTCTTATTAGCATACTATAACATCATACTTTTATTTTTTTAGTAGTTTTATAACCTAATTTTTACTTATATTTTTCGTTTTTTTACTCTAATAGTGGATGAATTGGTGCAATTCATACAATTAAGTCAACAAGGACAATTTGGTCAATTCATGTTTGTTACCAAAATAGTTTTGTTTTAATTTCTTTAGTGTCATGGGGTTCATGTTCGGCACTAGCAACAACACGGAAGACCATTCGTAAACGTTGAATTAGTATTTCAATTCAATGTCACTTTCAGCTGCAATATAAAACATAAATGACATCGTACTTTGGTTTAAAACAAAATTTTACCTTTATACACTTTATCAACATTTGTTCGTGTCTACATGAAAATTTTCAGGTTGTGACAAAGATGCAATCTACTGCTTAAAAGACATGTCTTAGTTGGTTAAGTGACATGAAAAAGCATGTAATCCCTTTTATCTTTATACCATTTATCATCACTTTTTATCTCTAAGTCATTTCTATGTTGCCAATTCATCTTTACTGTCTTCTTGGTCTGATACAGCTTCTCTGTATCTTTTTATTGGGTTGTTTCTATACTAGAAAAGCATTAGGTTGTGATAATTTTGTTCTAAACTAAAAACTTGGAGTTATGTTTGTTGATATGTGTTTCAATGAATTAGATAGTTGATTAAGGATACACTTTTGATTTTTTTTATTTTGTTTTAGGTTTCTACTAAAAGTGAAGCTTTTAATCGAATGATGTTTCTGTTTCAACCAATTTTTTTGATCTGTACAATTAGCACGTCATTCTAATTTGGAAGGTTTATCAAATAAAATAAGTTATTTACTCATATTAATTAATCAAATTAATAGTTTCCACAAAATTAAGCCTCAAATTCAGCAAATTCGAATTTCAAAATTTCAAAAAAAAAAATACTTACAGAATCGGAAATTCAAAATTTCAAGCAATTTGAAAGGTACCTGATTGCGTCTCTATTCTTAAAGCATGCACCTCGAGTTATTCATTTCAACATCTTCAGTTTTCACTAACATCTTCAAAAACAACATTTCTGCAAAACATAATCAGGTAAAATTATATTCCAAATAATGTATGTTATGTTAAAAAAACCAAGATTAATAAAGAGTTTATCATTTCTTACCTTTAATTTTCCCGTCGTCAACCCCAATTTTACGTTTCTTCATTGTTTGATTTTGACATCTGATATCAATCAATGTAATTTCTCTTCAGTTCATATTTCTTCTATGGTTGTATATTCGTATCTGCCTTCGGCGATTGAAATGGGCAAACTTCTACACCCTTTCACAAATCGATACTTAGGACATGTTCTAGGTGGTGGCCGACATATCTATTTACGGATAATTTTAGGTTTTTGTTTCTATTACAGCCAAAGGGGGAAGGGAGTTAGTGAGGTTCGGTGGGAATTTTGGTAAAAAAATATATTTTTTTAAATAAAAACAATATATACATAATGACACTTAAAAGAATCAACTCGGTAATGTTTTTTTTCTCATTTTTTATATTAAAAATATTTACATAATTTTGATTGCTATATATCCGTAATTAGTATTAAAAGAAATATAAATTAAATAATCATCAATAACTTTAAACTTATATGTCCTTTTTATTAAAATGCAATTTAAAATTAGTTAAATTTGTTTAAATGTCATTTTATATATTATAGTCAACAATTTAATAAGTCAATTTTATTTATATATCATCATACAATACTAACATTTTTAATTAACTAATACCTAAACATCGTTTTAAATATTGATAAAACATTTTTAATATTTATTAGGAATCATGATTTAGAACTATTATTTATTTGGTATTTGATTATTATTCAATTTCTCAACTGAAGTTTATATATAATGACATTTAAAATTGTTGATTTTAGATAAGGATGACAAACCATCAAATAAAACATCTAATATTGTGTATAAAGAAGTTTTTAGAAATTTATAAACCTTTGTACAATTTTATTATTTATATAGATTTTAGTTTCTGTGTTACTTAAATTTATATTGCATTCTACATAATTATGATTTTCTAACATATCCACATATACAAAATGCCAATAGGATATTCAAACCAATCATTTTGTAATTTCAACCAATAATTATTTAATTATGATATCACTGACAAAACATATATATATATATATATAAATTAGTAAAGTTTTTATTATCAATTCTCAACAATTAAGTTATAATTTAATTAAAATTATTTTTAAAATTTTCATCCGTAATGTCCAAGGGTTATAACATAGTTATTTTAATGTAACTCTTTTACTTCCACGTGAAATTTTATTCTAATTTTTAATATAAAAGTTAAATTACAATATACCCTTTAGCTTTTTAAATAATTTAAATAAGCTTATCTTTAATTTCTGAAATTACTTTTCTCGGCTTCAAAATCCGTCACCCATTTTAACTGCGACCATAAAATCAACGATTACGGCATAAATTACATTTATATTCGTCACCCACTTTTGATTTGGGGGTAATTACTAATCTAGCAAAATTAAGGAAGTGATTAACAATTTTTAGCCAAAAATTAGTAAATGTCCAAATATAGCCCACGAAACCGTAGGTTTCTATATTCGTCTACTGTTTCGCCAATTGTATAATTTTTTTTTCATTTCTAAGAAACAAAACCGTAGGTTTTTTAAAACCTACGGTTTAGCTACGGTTTCCCAAACCGTAGCCTACGGTTTTGAGGAAAAAAATTCGTTTTTTTTTTTTTAAGTCTACTGTTTGGGGTTTAATCTACTGTTTTGTCAAAAAAGCTACGGTTTTGGAGTTTAATCTACTGTTTTGTCAAAAAAAAAATGCATACGGTTCATACGAAACCGTAGGTGTACAAGTCGACACTGCACAATCTGTGCATTGGGCACTTGTACACCATAGGTTTCGTATGAAACCTACGGTTTTATATTTTGTTTTCGATTTTTTTCAAAAAAAACTTAACCCCATATACAAAATACATTCTTAATCACAAACACGGTAAAATTTTAATGAAAAGTAGACAAACCTAATTGTTCTTCGGGTGCTCTATTGAGAGAAAAAGGTAGCAAAACCAACAAAAAAAAGGAAAAATGACATAATCTGAAAATTTTTACATTATATACTTTGGGCTAATGGACCACGAAAAAGTAAACGGGCCCGTGAAACAATAGCCCATTAGGGGAAAAGAGTAGTCTTAGGGGAAAAGAAGTCTAACTGCGGAAAAAAAGTAGCCAACCTTATTCTTTTGTGCGCTATTTTTGGCTAAATGGTTTTTTTTTTTTGTTATTTTTTGATAAGTAATTAAGAATTTTGGGTGGATTTGTACTCCACCGATTCATCTTCAACATCCAGCACGTTTCCACTTCCTTCTTCTCATTCACCGATTCTTGGGATTTTGTTGATATCTGCATTATACATCTCCTTGACATCCTCGACTACAACCCACACCTCCTACTAGCACCCACCATCTCCCATCTATATTGATAGCGATTAACCCCACACCTATCTCCCATTTGTCCCAAGTCCCATCCCTACGATGCTCCTTCCCACATACCCATATAAATGAAGCCATCATCCCCATTTATAGAACCGCAACCATTCGGTTGTGTTCCTGCTACAATCTGGTACGTTTCTCCTACAACTCCATCTTCTAACTTTGTTAAAATTTTAACTTATTAGTTATTGTACTGTTTTGTGAATCTCGAATTAAATGAACAAGAGGGGACACCACTTTTCTTCCCTCAACACCTCCTGACGAATTCGAAAAAAATTGTCAATTAAATTAATTTTAGGTTTCAAAAATTTCGAAGTTCAATAATATTTATTGATTATTTAATCCGAAAAAGGAAATACAATCATATATTCGGTTTTCTTATGAAGCAGCGTTGTATATGTGGTAACTGAATTAGGGTTAAAATAGATGGGGAGTGCAGTGACAAGGATAATCCTACTACGAAAACAAATCCCTTGATTGTTTATGTTTGATCTCTCTTGAAAAGTTTGTTTTTTTATAGGGTGTTTGGCTTCGAGTTTATCAAGAAACTCGCTTCTCTTGGATGGACCATTTTAAGGTGTGTAGCAAAGGTGTACAGAGCAAAAAAAAAAAAAAACATGAAGAGATTCAGAGAACACTGCAAAAACCGGGAAGAACATGGTAGTAATTCTCATTATTTTTTAAGTTTTTGTTATTGTTTATTTTTTTTTTTATCGTCAAGTGCATAAGGTATTTTTTTTATATATATAAAAAAGGTTATTTGAAAATGTTTATTATGAATAAAAATGGGTTTTAGATGTGTGATTGATTATGTAATCAATGCTTATTTTACTGCACATTTATCATTTAATTATAAAGCTTATTATTTTAAAGGATTTAACTACTAAGTTGCATTTTTTGTTTCTTGGATTTTTGCCAAGATAACTCTGTTAAATGGAGCTAAGAATGATCTTATTTTGAAATTCCATGAAAATTCCAAAAAATAGTTTGACCTTAAACTTTAATGTGGCAGAGCTACATTTGGAGATGTTCTAAATAATCTGCGCTTATTGGTGCTTCCTTGACGCCAAAAACATTATTGTGGTATATCATACTACCATTCTTCATTTTATTTATTTTAATCTATGGTTCTTCGTTGTTGTTGCTGATACTATTATGTTTAATGGTAGTATTAAGCTTGCAGATACTATTATGTTCATGGAAGCGATAATAAGCTTTGTCAAAACCTCCAGACTCCATATTTAGCTTCTGCTTCTTAATTTACATAGTTTATTAAAAGATGAGGTGAATTTCATTGTAGCATATGAAAAAGGTACCTTCTTATTGTACATATTAGCCACTGATTTCACTAAACCATATACCAATGTTTTCAAGTTTCTTGTGGTCTAAATGATTTACAGGTTCTTTTTTCTTTTAATGCAGCTTTTTTGGAGTCTTCTAACCAACCCACATGTGAATATTTCTAATTTGACATAGCAGTTAAGTTTTCTTGAATATTTCTAATTTGAACCTCAATATGTGATTCAACTTTTTTGTTGTTTTGTTCGTGCAGAATATACCCTATCCTAAGGTTTCTTTGGCACATATCAAGATTCAAGATCCTCCTCAACGCTTGCAAATGAGGTGCTTTTGATTGGGTATGGTATTTAGGATAAAGAATGGGTAATCATGTTAATTTAGTCATAGTAAGGTGTATTTAACATTTCCATCATAAGCTATGATGCTTGTTTTAATTTTCATATAGGGACTGAATTTGCTTTAGAAAATGTGGTTAACTTGTGGAACCATTTAACTTGATGCTTTTAAGTTGCATCACTTGAGTTTAACACCTATTGGGTTTTTAAAAAGTGCGAATATATAAAATCAAAAGATGTTATACGTTTAAAAGAATATAAAAATCTTATTTAATAAAATATATGAATTCCAATGCAAAATTGTTGTTATAAACTAAACAACTATTAAATCAATTATGAAGAAAAGTAGATCTCAAGCCAAAGTATTGAAGTACTAAGATTGCACGGAGCGGGCAACGGGAGCAAGCCTTAATCCGACGTGGACGTCCCATAACACCGGTATAACGCGCGAAAGACCGCCCCCTAGCCGTTATTTGGCGTAACGGTAACCAATGTTTTCGTGGTAACAGGAAGAAACGGATGAATTGTCATCGCTTTTTTTTTTTTTTTTTTTTTTTTTTTGCAACGGTCATAAAATGGACTGTTATTGAACGGTCAAAATGGTTAATTTTTTTTTTCAATTTTCACTATATATATATATATATATATATATATATATATATATATATATATATATATATATATATATATATATATTCACTTCAATTATCACTCACCTTTTCTCACTTTAAATTTTACATACCCTCATTTTATTTTTTTACACAAAAAAATCATATGGATCGAAACCCCAACACTCCTCCAAACACAAATACACTTCCGCCTCTCGGATTTGCACAATACGAATTGTACGCGAACATCCTTAACACTCAAGACAACTTTTTCAATCCCGCCTCACCCCCACCACAATTCCCTATAACCTTTCCACAAAACATTTTCAACCCATTCGCTACAATGCAACAAAATACCACACAACCACCACCCACCCAAGAAATGGTACCCGAGACGCAAGCAGGGGGAGCCGAAAAAAAAACAGCCCAGAAAGGGAGAGCACGAAGGAAAGGGAAAGCGGTTGCGGTGGAGCAATCGAAAGACGAACCTCCGACATGGTGGACTGCGGAGGAGGAATATGCGTTGGCGGTGGCTTGGTGCGGGACATCAAAAAATCCAACGCAAGGAAACGATATGAGAAAAGTTGTTTTTTGGGAAGCCGTGATCGGGAAATTTCGGACCATTTTGAAGAAGGATGAAAAGTATCACAATCACGACATGTTGAGTAGCAAATGGACTCAAATAAGCAAGAAGTGCACCAAGTGCAATTCCATCTACAACAAACTTTCATCGCACAAGCAAAGTGGTGCGATCGATTTTGACGTTTATAGAGCGGAGAGGGACCAATATCATGTCGAGACCGATCACGTTTTTTAGCACGAAAAGATTTGAGAGATTGTCAAGAAAGGACCAAAGTGGAATAAAACGGACACATTTACAGAACAACAATCGAAGAGGTCTAGCGGCTAGGGTTCGGTCGACGTTTCTGACGCATGCACGAACATCGACCTCAATGCGGACACGGATGAGATACCGGACGACTTGAACGACCTTGAAGAGATCTCCCCGCCTCGACGACCGATAGGCCGCGACAAAGCGAGACGTGTTCAACGACACACATGGGAAGGCGAAAGTAGACGTCGAGAGCAAGCCGAAATGAAACAAATATTTGACGATCACAACGAAATCGCGCGTAAAAGATATGAGTTGCAACGGGAGCATTTGGAGTTCCTTCGTCATGAAGCTGAAAAAGATCGCATTGCGAAGGATTTGACAATTCTCTAAACTAGAGAAGAGAATATGCCACCGAGACGGTTGGCAGTGCTCCGAAAAATGAAGGCGAAGATCGAGAGGAAATATTTTAGACGAAGATTAGTGTTTTTTTTCGTTGTAATGTTTTTTATTCGGTCAATGTTTTTTTTTTCGGTGTAATGTCGTTTTTATTTTTTTTCGTTGTAATGTCGTTTTTATTTAAGTATTTATTTTAGTTATGTTTTATTTAATTTATATGTTTTTTAAAAATTATTATGACAAAAATTAAAAAAATAAAACAAAATAGAAAATTTTAAATTAAAAACATCAAAAAATAAATAAAAAAATAAATAGAAAATGATAGATGTTATTACATGTTATTTGGTGTTTCATTTTCACATTGGGTGTTATAACACCAAAAGTATGAATAGGCTGATGATGTGGACATTTTGGATGTGATAACATGTAATAACATGTTGCCCACAGCCTCACACCCAATAGCATACTAAAAAGTTATGCGTTGGTAGAAAAAAACCCGATGTTTTATATTTGTATGAAACTTGAAGAGAAATAAAGAAGTGGAATATGGTTATGTAATTGATATGGAATTTGGAAGTTTTATATATTCGTACTTTTAAAAACATGAAAAGTAATCTATATTCTATATTATGCTTATATAAATTTTTTGTTTTTATTTATCAAGGCGTTATATGGTTTTATGTTGGTGCTGACAGATATGTAATCTATGGAGTGGAAGAGAACGTTAGGATCGTGGACTGATTATAATATTAAAAAAAAAAACAAAATATAAATAGAATTGATATGTTAGCTTAGAGAGTGGAAGGGACTCTTGGGAAATTATGGGATATTTACACTTCTAGGGAAATTATGGAATATTTACACTTCATGTCTAACATTTTAATCCATGCTATTATAGCAACATGTTATCGTATAGTTTAACATATATTTTAAACAATAAATTTAATTTGAACAATATATCCTCTAATCTAATAAATAAGTATATTTTTGCCACATGACATTCTCCAACCCCCTTAAATCGAATTGTCTCGCTCAAATCGTCTAAGTGAAATTCCATATATACTCTTCTACAGTATACTATGCCCGTCTATCATAGAAACCCGTATAATTAGCAATCATAAACAAATCAAAAGCTTAATCGCAAAAAAAAAAAAAAACGGAAGCAATCTCCAAATTTGAATAGGATACACGATGCCTTCTATGGATTTCATATATTCTTCGAACGCATTGATAATTGATCACAAATTAATCTGCAACGAAGGTAATCATCTCCATCCACTTCGTCTCTCATATCAGGTCTCATCAACAATGTTAAGATTCATTGATGACTTCTCTTTGATTTTTGGGATAATATAACAGAAATCATTTATCAACTGCATCATTTATGTTTATATCTTCGTTTTTTTTGTTGATTCTAATATGCGCTATTCGGTTTACCACCATCTTTTTTCCAGGTTCCTTTGCCTCAATCTCTATTTTGGTCTTTCGTCCTTTTTTATGAAATAACAATTTTTTTTTGTGAAATTCATTCTAGGGTTTTGAGTATGTGTAGGTATGCTGATTTTTTTGGAGTAAAGAAAGTAGGATTTTTGTTTGATGTTGGTTCCTAGGTTTGGTTCTTCATTTTTCTGATTTCTCATAAGCCATTGTTTTTTATTTTCCATCTTTATCTACAAATGAGTATTTTGAACTTTTGTACATTGATTTCTTGAAGAGTAGGTCGGATTATTATACCCTTTTTTGTGAGTCTTTTGAGTCTTTGTACTTTGATTTCTCATATTCTATTTTTTTACTGATCTTCTTTGTTTAATTGTTCTTCTTTGTCTTTTCATCCTTTGTACCCCCATCGATTGATATTGCTATTAGAACCAGGGTAACCCTAACACTGAGCTACAATCGGTAAGGTTTTTTATTATTATTTTTTTTTAAACTTTCTTTGCATATCTTCTTTAAAATATTATACCCTTTTTTGTGAGATGTAAACTATGTTTTCTGTGGATGTATGTGTTTTCTATGTCTGTGTGCGTGTGTGCGTGTGCTGAATATGATTTGATTAATTCGTTTATGAGCAATTCATATTTAAGTTTTTATAATCATATATCATGTCCATTTATATTTTCTGGTTTAATTTCATAGTGAGTACTTGATTTTGTCTTGTATGTAATCAAAAATGAAAAATAAATAAATATGCGAAACAACCAAAGTTATAATTTCTCAAATATAGTCGGTTTTGATTGTGTAAAATGTAAAAGAATTAAAATTCCATATAAGTTATAGCATCTGGAGTTGGACAATAGTTTGTTTTGAAGTTGTCCTAATTTTATACTTTCGCTTATGCCTTATTGTTGGTTAAGAAAATTGTTAAATTTAAACTGAATCCAAATATACCATTTGATAATATTCACACTCCAGTTCCTTTCTATCAAGCTTCAGTTCTTGAAAAAACTCAATCAAAATACAACCTGATAAAAAATGCAATAAAATCCACAATGTTCCTTAGAACAATTTGATTAAATTGGTAAAAAGCTACTAATTGAGTTTGAGGCGGTATAAATTTGACCTCAGAGGTCATGATATATCTTTTTATGGGAATGGAGTAATAGTTACTATTAACACCATGAGAAATTGAGTGTGTTGTTTACTTTACCCCTTTGGAATTGTGCTTTTAGTAATTAATTCTATTCAAAACATAATGTCAATGGTTGCATCATTTGCTTTGGGCATGATGTAAGTCTGATTGTTTGATGCATGATGTATTTAATGGCCTTATTCTTACATTCTTTGATGCATGATAAGATTAATCATAAAAAGATTTGCTAACATTCATTCAAAATGACAAAATTACCCTTATAACTAATAATGTTTATTACAAAAATAAATATGGTGATGATAAGGAAAAAGTTGAAAGTATTATGCTATGATTCTAGAAACCACGACCCGCAGATGATAAACTACAGTAAGGATTTTAAAAGTAATGTTAATCCCATTGAGGTATGAATTATTGTCTACTACTCTATGACATAGTAATATATTAACAATGAGGTTTTTAAATTACTATAGAGGTTGTTTTGAGGTGGAATCCAGATTCACCAGACAACCCTGAAATCCAATACAACAGGCTCATTCCTCAACGGGGATGATGATGGAGCGTGTATTTTCTTTATACTTGTTTTGGTTTAGTGTGTATTGGTTTTGTGGCCTGAGTTTAGAATTTTTCTTGTAATTTTTTGGTTTTTGCCATCAAACCAGTGGACACAAGGAAAAAAATCCAATACCAAAGCTTATATCCACCATCTCCAACAAGAATAGTGTGTATGTATGTGCCTTGTGTGTCTCTTTCCTATTTAATATA